TATATATATATATATATATATATATATATATATATATATATAAACCCTGCCCCCCTTCAGTAAAATCATTCCCAGGTTTTCTTCTTGTTCCTACTTGGCTGCTATGGCATGGGTCATCATATATGTGTTCTGTGAAGCAGGATATAAGAAAGAGAAAAACAAGAGGTGGAGCTTCCTTTTTAAAGTATGTGTGTTAGAATTAGCACAATTACCCTATTCATCAATATTGTTTGGAATGTGGCTACCACTAGAAGGAAGGCTGGGGAATGCAGCATTGTGCATGCTCACCCTTAATACATTTCATTCAGCTGAAAACTGACAAATGGTAATTAAAATACAAGAATAAATATTCATCATATTAATTGGTAGTCTTTGTCTCTTTGTGCACTGCTGCTTCAAGAAATTAGACAAGGAAATTAGAATCATTTCCCTTTTTGAAAAAAGCTGTCATAATACAATATTATTCAGGTGTGTTGGGAGGGGTACAAGTTTCAACCCATTATTACCTTTTTCCCTACTTTTGTTTACCTTTAATATAAGATCAAGAATTATTTACTCACTATGTGAGAATATTGAACATTTAGGCTTATGCCTTTTTAGCAAAACAATGACTTCAATGACTTTCATAAAATATTAGCAATTGAACTTCAATAGCATATTTAGGTTGATTTCATAATTAGAGTAGGTATTTTGCTTACAACTGTATAAAGAAAATTATATTAAAAAAATAATAGTGTCATGAATGAACATTGAAAAGGGGATAATATGGTGTTTGCATGTTGGAGATGACATGAAGATGACAAATATATTTTTGGTTATGCTGAGTTGAAGTGTGGAGAATACATTTATTTGGAAATGTCCTATAGCATAGAACAAATATTTGAAATAGAAAATTGAAGCTCAAAATAAATGAGATTTTTGAAAAGAAGATAGCTGCTCTAAATGACTCTAAATCTCTTGATCTCTATGAATTATATTTCAGGATGCTGAAAGCACCTGCAGTTAAGTCTAAGAACCTTTTGAAAGATAGGCAAAATTTATTGAAGTACCACACATTTGCATGAAGTAATGAATATTTGGCTCCATAAAAGTGGAAAATACAGTTTAAGAAACAGTTGAACCCAGGAAAGACTATCAAGCACATTGGTAAAAGGACACATCTTGAATTTTCAAATAAAATGTACAGTTAGAATCTTGAAGCTTAAAAAGAGAAAAAACATATGTTATCAATAGGAACAATAGTAAAAACAACAATAAGAATAACTGATTATTTTTCTATATAATCATAAGAGGTGAAAAAACACTAACCTGATGGAAATTGAGAAAATTTGTTTAAGCATACCAAAGTGGAAACAACTGGCTATAAGATAATGCTATTAGGTATAGTAGCAGGTTTCTGAACCACCATGGAATATGAGTTCCTTAAGGGTCACTAAGAATGTATAGGCTGAATGGAAACAGCAAGCCTCTGTGTGCTTGCATGTGTGTTTCTTGGGTAATGATTTCCTTCCCTACGCCAATTACACTGTTTTTTTTTTTTTTTTTTTTCATACAGCACATTCCTATTCAACCTGTGGAAGAATTTAGGCAAATTCTACTTTGTGAAGAATTATCAAAACCTCTTCCTAGCAGAGCACCATCACCATTATTAAAGCACTACACATGTACCTCTTTTTGGAGCACCATTTATTTTGGTATGCTTATTTTGGTCACATCCATACTATAGAACCCCATACATCTAAAAATATAGAAGGCAGGGATTTTATCTATATATTTTTGTCAATATCTTGAAAAATTACTTTGTTGCTATGCTGATGAAGAGATGCAATTAGAAAAATAAGGGCAATGTTTTAGATAAATTCAAAAGATATTGATAAGTTTTGAATATATCAGGATAAAATGAAATCCTAAAATTTAGTCATATACATTAAGTCACAAAATGCCCAAAATATAAGAACTGAATACAAAATATATTCTTTGATATAAATACTGCTTTGAAAATAGTAGGCAGTATTGTAGTTGATTTTTCATTTGATTTGAGTATGTGAAAGGATATTGCAATTGGATCAGTATTTTAGAAACATATATAGGAATGGTGTAAAGAAAAAATAATTTATTAAAACATTGTACTTTGATCTGTTCAGACTGCATTTCATTTTTTTTTAACATTTTGATTTTTTGAACTGGTGTTGCATGTTTTTGGTATAGCCATTGAACAACAGATGGAGATGAATAGTGAAAAGATCCACCTAAAAACTACCTTGAACTTTCTCATGATTGAAAATGTATACTTATAAAAGAAAATGTAATTACAAAATATCACTCCATTCATTTTTTACACAAAAATGCATATACATATGCCCCATAGACTTTCAATTGACACATATTTTTGAAATATGCCCTTATTTATAAATAAAATATTTACCTTATTTTCCTGCTGCCTTGTATCCCATTGGACACATGAATGAAGTTTAATTCATCCCAACTAATTTTAGTCATTTCCAGTTATTTGGAATTATAAAGGATGTTTCATTGAAAATATTTTAAAAAATTTATTCACATGGGATAGTGTAATCATGTAAGATATTCTTAGATGTTAATTATTGGGTCACATTTTTGAGAGAACATTTATAATTTTAACACAAGTGATAAAATCTTTCTCTTAATATTTCATATTTAAATATATTTTTGATACATTGTATATAGCTGCATATTTTTCAGTTAAGTTGTTGAATTTTTTCTTATTCCCTGAATGTTTCTAACATGTAAGTTAGAGTAATTATTTTTCATAAATATGAATTTTCTATATTTTTTGTCTTTTGTCACTTATCTTTCAATTTTATGGTATTTTGTTAACTAGTCAGAAAATTTGAACAAAATTTTAATTGATGTAGTCTATTTTCCAATCTTCATTTCTACTTCAAAATGTATTATAGCTTTAAAACAAAACATTTCTAATGAAAAAAAAAATCTGTCGTATTTTCCTCTAGCATTTTTGTGTTTTATTTTTTATAATTAGAATTCTGATCTTTTGGAAATCAGTCTTGCATAGTTGGAGGTATATCCAACACTTTTTGCCAAATCAGTACCCACTTATTCCAGCAATATTCTATTGATTATACTTTCTATTGTCACTGTTTTTAAATGTAACATCCGGCAGAAACAATTGGTACTATCTAGATAGTGCAAATGACTCCCTGAATATCCCTGTCTGCTTTACAGTCTGACAATGACAATAAGCATTCTTGTGTTTAAAGAACACTAACAGTTACAGTGAGTCTCACTTTTAAATAAAAGGTAGATGAAAGCTGGTGTACATGACTCATCCCTTTTTTCTTCTTTTTTATTGACTAAAATGACACATGTTCCAGGAATTTAATTTCCACAGTGGAAGATCCCCTATCGACCTAGATATCTAAATAAACTCACATAATAGAATCTCACCAATCTATATTTACCATGCAACACAAATAAAAGAAAAAGCACAGAGGTTTGGAGGTTAATAGCAGCAACATATAGTCTCTTAGTTGGAAGGTTAAGCTATATTCACTTTAAAAATAAAAGCCTAGACATATTAAATGTATTGGGGGTATTTAATCAATTCAATTTGTTTTTTAGAACTGCTATATCAAAATTTTCCAGGAAGTCTCTTCTGTCCTCTTTTTATACCTTAGCAGAAAAATATTTCTCAAACCTGAAAAGCTCACAGTAGAAGTATGCTAATTGTATAGAATTTGACAGTCTCCCCATTTCCACAAAGATTACCAGTTAAGCTATTTTCAATTTTTTAAAAAATATTTACCAATTTCTTTTTTATAACAAGAGGATTTAAAAGAAAAAAAAAATGTTTTTACTGCCATTTGGCTCCCAGTGTCACCATAGGTTGGCCAAATATGTGTGTGTATATTTGAGCGATTATCTAACCCTCTTCCTAGCAGAATATCATTACCTTTCATAAAGCACTATGCATATCCCTCTTTTTGGAGTACAGTTTATTTGGCATGCTTATTTTGGCATATATAATACACACACACACAC